GTGTATATATACTGTATATGTTTCTGTGCTTCAACACACCTGATTTAAATTAATAATTTAACAGATATTTGCAGAAATTAGAGGCAATTGTATCAGGTGTTCAGAGGAACATGCAGAATAGCAGCCACCACTGCTCTACAGAAAGAAAAGTCGAGGATAGAACCACAGCTCAGAATTTTTTGCTAATTATTACAAAAATAAAGCAGTTATATTTGGACAGAAAATTCATCAGCAGTGACTTAATGTTCATCTGTAATTTTCTCAGATCGACTCAGTGACAGCCTCCTGTGGGTCGAGGACGTCTGATAGAGTTTTGAAGGTCTAACTCTTCTGGATCGTATAAATCATGCAGGTAAAATCACACATCTGTGTTGGTTTTTTTATTTATGGCACTTTGTACATGTCAGGTTACAAAGCATTTCGAACAACCAGAACGAACATTTCTTGTGTCAGACGTGAAAACAGACGCTCACATTCAACAGAGTGACCTCAGATGTGTCTCTACTACCTGATTTAATGTTCAAGTTTTAATATATAATCACATGCTAAAAAAATTAACGTGAAACTCATGGTTGCTACAATCGTTCCTCTAATTCCCCTACGTAAAAACTTTTAGTTTCTACTTCAGCCAAAAATACAGATATGTGCAAGAAACTGTACAAAAATCCATTCTTGTATGCAAAAGTTAATGTGAAAACACCGACTTCCACCCGAAGATTGACAGAACAGGTTGCATTGAGGTGCTACGATATCTTTTCGTTGGCACGCGAGGAGTAACATTTACAAATATTTACATGTGAGATTAGGCCGTCATGCATTCTCCTTGAAACTCGTAGAAAATGATCACATTCCACGTGGAAACTTGACTAAATGTTTCTTCTGTACAGGATGAGGGGGACCGGTGGGTCAAAGTCATGCTACAAAAAATAACATGAGCTAATCTGAGGGAATAAAACATTCTGGTTACAGAATGTTAAATGATTAACTTTAAATTATTTAGAAAATAAGTTAAGTTTTTAAAAACCAAGGCTGGCTGAAGTGAGTCAAAAGTCTGTGGACACCTTTTTAGTTCAGACAGAAAATTAAATATGAGTTTTAACCCAGCAGAGGGGGCTCTAGTGTTGAGGCTACATCCAGACAGGACCCCTCACTTGTTATATTCAGAGATTTTATTTCCTGTCTGAAACAAAGTGTTGTGTGATTTTATTAAGACCTGGACAGAGCTCCTTAGAGGGGGAAAAAAGTCCAGAATCTGCCTGTTTAAGTTGTGTTGGCACATGCAAGTACAAAACTCTTCATCTAATATTTTATAGTAAACTTCTGTTTCAGGCTGCACCGTTACTTTAAATATAAGAACTGTAAACGCTTGACTTTTTTAATTTCTAAAGATCTATTTGTGCATCTGAGCCTTAATGGAAAAGATCATCTAACTTCATGTGGACTAAGTGTGGATTTTAAAATCAGAATTGTCTTTTCCTTCCTGTATTAATAAAGTTAAATAAGTGGACACTGTAACTAACACCTTCACTATTCAGCTAAATGAAGTTTCTAGGAAACAAATGGGAAAGCAAACATGTAACAAATTGAGGTAATCCTTTCATTTTCTGTAGTCCAGCCGACTCGAGGTGCAGAGGTATCGAGTCACCAGAAGACCAGTGCAAGATTTAGGTAAGTTCCTCTGAAGAGGACTCYGGTTCAGGTTCGCACCCAGCTGATGGGGACCCAGAAGGACTCTCGCTCCAGCCTTTCTAAAATCCCTTTCAGTTCTGTGCAGGCGCTGGCAGAGTCCTCTTTGATCAGGACCCGGTCCACCAGGTGTCCGTACAGCTGATCGATCTGAACTGCAGACTGACGCATTTCCTGGAGATCTTCATCCTGAGGAGGAGGAGGAGACTTGATTTGTTATTTGAACTGAATGAAATCTTGTTCTCTGTTCGTCATTCTACAGGGTGAGTCAAAAGTCACAGGACAGCCTTTTATTTCAGAAAGAGAAGTGAAAAGATGCACCTGAAAATCACATTAATGAGACCACATTAAATTAAAGGGATCCATGATTAGTTGTAACAGACTTTACTTAATAAACATTTATTTTGACTGTAAAAATACTGTAGGATGTTCAGTTTTTATAATTTTTAAACTAAAAGTTTAAAAATATATTACACGGACGGGGCCATTTTATCTGCACGCAAAGCATTCTGGGTAAATGATGATGTGGATAGGTCCTCGGTGCGAGGCTGCTAGCGAGCTATATCCACCCTGAAGGTTAATCTTGGACAATATCTGATGATCGACTCTTTTAAATGAAACCAGAGAGCGTTGACAGAGAGGAGAAGGTAGAAATGACTCAGCCTGGAACTGAAAATATGGATGGAGGACAACAGAGCTGCTTTATGGAAGAAGAACCCCAGCTTAGCCTGTTAGCTTTAGCATTAGCCCTGACACTATCACCATTTATATGTATTAGTTCAGCGCTACACATTCTCCTCTCGTCACTGAGGTCCTCCATCCACACGACAGAGAGGGGAACACAAAAATGACTCAGTCTGCAACTGAAAATATGGATGGAGGACCTCAGTTTAGCTTGTTTGTTGCACTAGCACCTAGCTAATACATATAAGGCAATATAGCGTTGGTGCTAGCGCGAAGGCTAACAGGCTAAGCTGAGGTTCTTCTTCCATGAAGCAGCTCTGTTGTCCTCCATCCATATTTTCAGTTCCAGGCTGAGTCATTTCTACCTTCTCCTCTCTGTCAACGCTCTCTGGTTTCATTTAAAAGAGTCGATCATCAGATATTGTCCAAGATTAACCTTCAGGGTGGATATAGCTCGCTAGCAGCCTCGCACCGACGACCTATCCACGTCATCATTTACCCAGAATGCTTTGTGTGTAAATAAAATGGCTCCGTCCGTGTTAAAATATATTTTTAAAAATTTACAAAACTAAACGGCCTACAGTATTTTTGCAGTCTTTATTTTACAGTTAAAATAAATGTTTGTTTATCAAATAAAGTCTAATGTTACAACTAATCGTGGATCCCTTTAAGTTTGAAGCCTCACCGTCACGCGGCCGTGCTCTCCTCCTCCTCCTCCTCCAGGTGAGGTGGCTGCGCTGCGGCGGCGGCGGCTCTCAGGGATGCGAGGTTTGACAAAGACGACGTACGGCTTGAACTCTGCTGTTCGGAGCCTCTTCAGGGCCTGGAGACAGATTAACGTCCAGAGGGTGAGGGAGACGAGACCTGGCACACGTCATGAACTTACCTCGGGCTGCACGTCAACTATACACATCTTGTTCCTGGCCTGCACTGAGCGGATCGCCTCGATACTGGTGCCATATTGGTTCTCCTTGTACTCCCCGTGTTCTATAAACCTGCAGAGACGACGAGAATTCAAGCGTTTTACAACAAAACTAATGTTCAAATTAAAGTAAACGAGCAGAAACTTACTTGTTGTTTAGAACGTCTGCATCAAACTGTTGTTTTGTGACGAAATGATACTCAACTCCGTCTTTCTCCTGAGTCTTTTTGGGCCGGGTGGTATCTGTTGGTGAAAAAGAGCCGTTAGTTTATTGTTTTATTCATGTTCTGTGTTTAAAACGGTGCCTTACGTGGAACAGCTACAGCGTAACGATGTGGATTTTCAGCGATCACCCTCTGCTTCAGTTCATTGATCCGAGCTCCAAGTGACCCTAAAACAATGTTTGACAAAAACACTTCAGAGCTTTTCACATATGGTGACTAATCCACAGAGTTGTAAATTAACTAAGTACAAATACTTTGTTACTGTACTCAGGTAGAATTTTTGGTTATCTGTACTTTACTTGAGTAATTATTTTTAAGACAATTTTTTTAAAAAGGTAAGAAGTAGAAAATCATTACTCCTATTTCATTCCAGCTTGTTATTGTAAATAAAATAAAAATTCTATCCAGATAAACTGTGCCTTTGAATTTAATTGTGGTTGGATGAGAAGTATAAATATTTACCATTCTGACATATCAGTTTGTACACAGCTGCATGCCTTAAAAATGTATTTTGAAAGTCTAACCTCTCATTTTTACTCATTACTTAAGTACAAAATAAATCAGATACTTTAAGACTTTTACTCAAATAATATTCTTACAGGTGACTAACTTTTTGATAAGATACTTGTACTTTTACTCACCGATGAGGACCACCAGGCGCGGCCGCTCGTTGGGTCTCTGCTGGAAGCGGGTCACCTCCTCGTACGTCAGGAACTCCTGGTCCCCGCTCTCTGAACCCTCTCCTGAAGACCCCCGTCGGTCCTTACGGCTCAACCGGAAACTCCTCCGTAGACCAGCTGCAGAGAGGATGAAGAGTTTGGGTCTGGTGTTGGTCACTCACAGCTGCATGTTTATTATTAAACTTTCATGCATTAAATAAACAAACTGTTTAAAGTCCTGCTTTTACTACAGATCATGCAGTTCGACATGTTAAAGTCTGAAAATGACTCGTTTCACATCACGGCAGCAACAAGTTAACTCTCTTCCTTCATTAATCGTGCATGCTGCTGTCAGTTCTGAGGCAGGACCCTCAGGACTGCCTGGCCCTGGGAGACGCCACCAGCTGTGGGGTCTCCCCTGGTCAGAACAGTCTGGAACCCCTCCCCCCTCTCTCTCTCGCAGGAATGAGTCGGGGCACTGTACCTGAATAAAACTCCCAGGAAAACACCTGGCCACAGGAGGGCGCCACCGCTTTACACTTAGGAGAGACTATAAGTGGCGTTAGAGCATCACTCAGCCTCACAGCGTCACAACAAGAGTGCACGAGCARCAAGACGTGCCTGGTGGAGTGAGCAACGCCTCAAAGGAGGGGGGCAGGTGGAGGGGGGAGCAGCACACTGACCACAACAGCAGGGAGCAGATAGGAGGGAGGGGCTCAGGAGGATCCAAACATCGAGGGGGGAAAGGGGGCGGGGTTTAGTTGCGAGCAGGTAAACAGGAAGCAGACATTCTGTTTGTCAGAGGACGGCTTCTGATCAACATTCAGCTGTTTTCAGCGTGGGGTGGGTGGGGGGGGGTGTCAGGTTCAGAAGAGAGGCGGTGGAAGAAATCAGTTAAACCTGCATATATTTATACAAAAATTGTACTTTTAACGCAAATGTTTGTTGTAAAATACGAAAAAATATATTTTTCAAGTCAAGATAAGGCTCAGTGCTGTCGTCCCAAACGGTTCAGATTTTCTTCTTTTTAGCTTCTAGTTTTAAATTACACGTTTGTTTACGAGAACGGCTCATTTCTGGTTTGACGACTTGAAAAATGTATAATTTGACCAACATTAGCTGAAAATTAATACGGCAAATTAAAACCATAGTAAACTAGAGAAAATGCATTTTCTGCAAAACTGCATTGAGAATGCTTAACGCTGAAAAAAAGAACAAAAATCTTGTAAAATTGACGAAAAAAGCTGAATGTAGCAGATAAGTAGCTAAAAACTTGTTTAAAAAAAGCTGAATTTACCATGAAGAGTTTACTTCAGCTGAAATAGCTAAAAAAGTAGCTTAAATAGTAAAAAAAAAACAGCTGAAAGAAGCAGAAAAAGCTTAAATTAGCAGAAAAAAGCTAATCAAAGTTGTAATCAGCAGAATAGCTGACATTAACACAAAAAAGAACAAATCTGAAGGCTGCAGTAACGTTTTATAAACATCTGAAAGTGTTTTATGTACGTTGAAAAAAATAGTTTAACTTGCTGAAAAGTCAAAACCAGAATGTCCCAAAGGAGCTGAACGTTTTGATCAACTGCTGAAACAGCACAACTGCAGATTAAGATATGAGTCAAAAATACAGGTGCTGGTCATAAAATTAGAATATCATGAAAAAGTAGATTTATTTCAGTAATTCCATTTAAAAAGTGAAACTTGTATATTATGTACGTTGAAAAAAATAGTTTAACTTGCTG